CCGCCGGGGTGGCCGGAAACATCAGCGCACCGCAGCCGCCTTCACCATCGAACGCCTCAAGCGTTGGAATGATGGCGAGCGGGCCTCTTTGTGGGCCAGTCGGCCTCAGCCGCAGCGGCCCCATGGCCGTGACATGACGGCGGAGCAGAAGCGGGACTTCGCCACCGGCCTTGCCAGAGAAGGCTTCGACAAGAAGGCCTGCACAGCCTTGCTTTCGCACGGTCTCTGCGACCACTCCCAGGCAACAGTTGCAGCCCTGCGCGCCCTCCACCCCACATCTGCAGCACCAGTCGTCCCTGCGTTGGAGAGCTTGCCGTTGGCGCCCGGGTTCGATGTCGATGCGGTGACGCAAGCCCTTCGCCGCTTCCCTTCAGACACGGCGCCGGGGCCTAGTGGCCTCCGCGTGCAGCACGTCTTGGATGCTGTGGGGCATGGCGTCGGGCTCCTGGACCAGCTTACCGCGGTTGTGAACCTCCTGGCCCAAGGGCGGGCTTGTCCAAGCATTGCTCCACTGCTCGCTGGTGCGGGGCTGGTGGCTTTGCCCAAGCCGTCTGGCGGTATCCGCCCAATAGCGGTAGGCGAGCTTCTTCGCCGCCTGACCGGCAAATGCCTCATGCAAGCGGTGCGGCCTGAGGCCCGGGACCACTTCTGGCCTGCCCAAGCAGGTGTTGCAGTGCCGGGCGGAGCTGAAGCTGCGGTCCATGGCCTGCGAGCTTGGGTCAGCCGCCATGCCGCTTCGCACGACTCGGTCGTGGTGAAGGTTGATTTCCAGAACGCCTTCAACACTGTCAGCCGTGATGTGGTCTTACAACAGGCCCGGGACAAGTTTCCCGCTCTGGCCCGCTGGAGCACGTGGTGCTACCAGCACGCCACCAACCTCCAGTTCGGAGACACGGTCCTCCAGTCCAACAGCGGAGTCCAGCAAGGGGATCCCTTGGGACCCTTGCTCTTTGCGGCTGCTCTCCATCCCCTGGCTGCAGCGCTTCGGACCACCGCCTTGGACTTTTCGGTGTTCTACTTGGACGATGGGGTGCTGGCTGGGCCCATTGATGCGGTGACAGCTGCCCTGTCTCAACTTCAGCAGGCTGCTGGTCGAGTTGGCTTAGTGTTGAACTTGGGCAAGAGTGAGGCCATCGCTGTGGGCATGACGTCTGCCGCGGCCATTGCGGCCAAGCTACCATCCCAACTTGTGAGCACTTCCGATGGCAACAATCGCATTCTCCGTGACTTTGAATTTCTCGGGGCTGGCATTGGTGGGCCCGAGTATTTGCAAAGGCATGCCACTGGTCGAGTTGAGGGTGCCCGCAAACTTTTGGAAGCCATTGGTGCACTTGAAGATCCACAGGTTGCCCTTCGGCTGCTGCGAGCTTCCGCTGGTTACGCGAGGCTCGTGCATACCATGCGGTGCTGCCCACCCGCTGGGCACGAGACTGCATTGGAACAGTTTGACTACCTGGTGCAAGAATGTTTCAGCTCCTTCACTGGTCTGCATGTTGAGGCTTCTGCGTGGCAACAAGCAAGCCGTGGCTTGGGCCAAGCCGGCCTGGGGCTCCGCTCCACTAAGGTCCATGCGCCAGGTGCCTACCTTGCCTCAGTTGGCGCTTGTGCCCGACTCTGTGGTGAGCTTGATGGCGGCTACTGGTTAGACCATTCTGGAGATGTGGCCGCCGCTTTGTCGGCACTCAACGCTTGCCTGGACCCAACTCAGCAGCTCACTGCCGCCGCTGCCTTGGGGCTCACGCAGAAGGACCTCAGCCGCAGAATAGATGGTGCTGGGTGGCAGGCCCAACTCCACGCAACTTCCGCTGTTGGCAAAGCCACGTTGTTGTCGGAGGCAACGCCTGGTGCTCGGGCCTTTCTGACCTGTGCGCCGTCCGGCCGCACACGCATGGAGCCAGCGGTGTTCGTGGCTGAGATCCGGGTCCGTCTGTGCATTGCAGAAGCTGCTGCCGACACATGGTGCCCCAAATGCGATGCCATTCTGGACACGCATGGGTACCATGCTGGCATGTGCATGGCTGGTGGGGAGCGTACACTTCGCCACAACGCCCTTCGTGACCTGGTTCACAGTTGGGCCGAACGAGGATGTCTTCGCCCTGAGCGTGAGAAGGCTGGCCTGCTTCTCCCACAACGACCTGATGATGCGGCCAGTGCCCGACGCCGCCCTGCGGATGTGTTTCTCCCGTCCTTCCTTGGACGCCCAACTGCACTTGACTTTGCCGTCACGGCACCCCAGCGGTTGGACGCCCTTGGTGGTTCAGGAAACACTTCTGCTGCGGAGGCATATGGTGCTTACAAGCGCCGGCACCTGGACACAGCTGATGCATGCGCAGCCCAGCACGTGACCTTCCTCCCCATGGTGATTGAAACCACGGGCGCTTGGGCGCCGGAGGCGGCCCAAGCCTTGGCTCACATCAGCCGCGCTGCTGGAGGCGGCGCAGGCGGGCCCACCTTGTTGCAGGAAACCTGCGTGCTGGTGCGTAGCTGGAGGGGCCGTGCTGCTCTGCGGCGCCGTGCTGAGCTCGTTGCTTGAGCTTTGGTCGTTGTGCGGATGGCTTGCCGGACTCCGGCTGGGATGGCCACGTCGATCTCTTCTGGTCTTCGTTGTCTTCGACCCTTGCGTGCGGGCCGCTTTTTGCTGAGGCAGTGAGAGGCATCCTTGCTTTTTCCGACCATCTTTGGCTGGCCCTGACTCGGCCAAGCTGTGTCGGGCATTTGGCCTGCATGCCTCTTAATTTTTCTTCTCTTGGCCTCTGGGGTTTGTGCAGCGGGGCCTGGGTCCATGAGTGGCTCTGGTTTTGGGCATCGGCCAGGTTTTTTTCCACCTCAAGGGTGTTTTTTCCTGGTGGCTGCTCCGTTCTGTTTTCACAATACTACTCCATGGTGTCAGGAGGATGCCAACGGGGTCTATAGATGGATGATTTGGGGGTGTACAATACAACTGTGGAAAGACAAATACAAATTTGTTGACATAGACACGTGCTTGCAAGGGTGTAGTAACTTTCCAGCCCCAAAGTATGGACATTTTGGACCAGGGACTGAAGGTAGGGACTTGCCTTGTGCCTGGTGACTTTTTCCTTCAAATGTTGTTGTGTTAAGAATGATCGAATAATGACCAGTTCGAGATGAGGTTTTCCTTTGCAGTGAATTCTGCCTGCAGGATTATGGAAAGGTGGGTTGCATGCGACTGAAGGCCATTTCAGATGCTAAGGTTGGGCAGACAGTTTGTGTGGTTTGGAAGAGCAAGTTTCACAGAGTTTAGTATTCTTTGAGACATGGAACTGCATTTGTTGACATTTCCATACATGTTCACCATCCATGAGAGACATGGTCAACATTCATTGGGATGCTTTCTGACCATGATCCCCTCGAGGTGAGCATGAAGACTCAGGGTGTGATCAATCCCTTGGGCGAAATCATCACCCATGACGTGACCTTCGAGCCCAACGTCAATGTCTATGACCGGACCCTACAGGATGGCATTGAACGAGTGATTCGCATCGAATGTCCTGGAGTACAGCAGGAGGACATCAAGTGGAAGGCGAGCACCTTGGGAACACCTGCGAAACATTGAAATGTTGATAGCATTTGATAGCCTCAACCGGGGAATGTTGGTTCAACGTAATTTGTGATGACGCCACCATACGCCACCCGTACTTGAAGATCTTGAAGGCGTGCCGGTGCTAGAGCTAAGACTTTGGAGCTTATACTCGACATGTCAACGAGTCATTGGATAAGGACCTGATAGATCATGATAGAAACATGTTGTCAATGTCAAGAACATTCAACAGCAAACTCGGCGATCGCCTGGCTGTTCCAGGCTTTCCAAAGTGGCGTGAAAATCAGCATCCGCAAGCAGAAACCCATTGAGGAGACCACAGTGCAGGCAGTGGAACCCATCATACAGCACCACGGTCCCTGGGAGCGCGCCTTCGAGTTTGAGAACGGTTCCGGGCGTTTCGATGATTTTGATGAGGAGGACCTGAATGGTGGGACAATGTTGGAGTGTTTTATTTTTTAACCGTTGTGTTGTGTTCCAAAGGATCATGATTTCCATAATATCTCGCAGATTTTCCATACATGTTGACCGTGGGGAAGCTGAAACCCGCACTGCAGAACTTCGTTTTGGCCGATGGCGTTTTGACAGCGACATTGCGCAAGTCCTTTCAATGTCGCGAGGGCAAGGTGACGACCAAAAATCCCACGCTGCTTCAAGGGCTTCAGGGTAGGGACCCTCCAACTCCTTCGGTGAAAAGTAGCATCTGTTCATTTGACATGGTGACCAATTTGGAGCATCGTGAGATGAGGGCAGGTGAACCTGCTATGAATTTAAAGACTTGATGGCACAGAGTCTCTCCAAGAGCCTGCACTCTCAAGGTCCCCGGAGAGATGTTAGTTGCGATATGTTGCGATATGTAGGCATTTTCTGTGTGAAACTCAGCTGAACAGAAGAGTTTCCTGTTCTTCCATCCTGAGCTTTGATGAGTGCTGTGGAATGGGCCAAAAACCTTGGTGCTAACGGATCATTTCGATGGTTCACAGGCATTGACCCATTCCCATTTAACAAGTTCCCTTTGGCGTCCGGCACATCCTGACAGTGTGCCACGACAGTGTAGAGGCGCCAATGCCGTTTCAGAACCGAAGCATTCTGGCATCGATTGCAGTAGAGGGTTTGAAGAGGCGACACACTCCCTGCAAACACGTGGAAAAAGGAAGTTCCCGAAGATGATATTGGGAAAGATGCGCGATGTGATGTTGAGCAAAACCATTGTATGGCAGCTTTGGCATACAAAACGCAATTCTCTGAGCAGATCATATGTGAGTGTGTTTGACTTGCGCCCCATTACATTTCCATGTTTTTTTTTCTGAGGTAAGGACCAATTCAATGCCCACAATTCCAGCCTTTGCAAGCCACAGGCGCTGCACTCGCCTCGTTTTTGTCGGCTTTGAACTACCCTAAACGTTGCATTGCTTTCAGCTTTCAGGCAGACGACAAGTCCATGCATGAACGAAAGGTGAGCCTTGTTGGTAACCACTTTTGCTCCCTGAAATTGTGGCAACATCAAACAGTTGTAGATCCCAAATACGCCCCATTTTTGCTGACTGGGTTGACGGCTTCCAAAGTGATGCTGTTGCTGCTCAGCCTGTTGCCCTTGGTGCATGGCGGGAAGTTTATGGAGATTCAGGGTGTTTCGGCTGCGCCTGGCACTTCATTTGGGGATAGCTTGACAGGCAACGCAGCATCTTGCCAAGATGCATGCGACAAGGAAATGACTTGCGATTGTGCGCTGTTCGACCCACTTCATGGCAGCTGCAAAATGCAGGCGGATTGTTTATATTTCCATCCTGATTATGAGGGTGGAGGCACCCTTGAGCTGTACATCAAGCTGCCCCCGCATTTGTGGCCCTTCTCCGTCTTCCCTGGGACCAATACCAACAGAGACGGCCAAGACGTGACGGCAGACAAAAAAGGGATGACTGAGCAAGACTGTGTGGACCTTTGTTATCAGAGCAGCGATTGTCAATGTGCAGTTCTCCTGACCAAAGATCGAAGGAGCTCTGCGGATCCTGCGGATGATCACTGCTGGCTCCAAAGCAAGTGCCATCCCGAAGGTTTCAAACAGATGCCGATTGGCTGATTGTGGCTTCAAAAGTTTTCTATTTTTCATCCGGCAATCCCGGAATATCCTGGAAGTATGCTTCCAGTTGATTCATGATTCTCATTGATTCTCATGATTGTTGTTTCCCGGGTGGCTCAACCAGGAAAGGTGCCCAGGACTACATCACTTTTGTGAAGGACGCGAATTTTGCGGCCTATCAGACAGGATCAGGAAGCCTCGTGATGTTGATCGTCTGCCTGGTGGTGGTCCTGCTGATGTGCGTTGTCGTGACTGCTTTGGTGCTCTATTACATGAGAAATAAGGGTCGGGCTTATCGAGCCATCTTGCAGGATCTTGCAGTGCCAAAGGAAGAGAACTCCCGGAAGGAGGGCACGGGGTCAAATTTCTTTGGGTCATTCTTTGGGTCACACATCAGAAAAGATGTTTAGGACAAGTATACATTGCTATATGTATGTATTATATTATTAATATAATAGACATAATGTACGTACTATTATAGACACATACTATAGTATATCATAGTATAGTATTTATTGAATATTTAGATCATGATATTATACGTAACAGACATAGAATTCATAAAGATGGACCATCCATGACCATCCTATTTTTGAGGGCCACCCGGTACCGTTGCCAGGAATACGCCAAGGAACAGTTGCTGAGTAGCTTCTCTCGCAAGAGCGGCGTCGGATATTTGTCGTCCTTGGAACTGGCTTTGGAGGCGAAGGTCAGCAACTCCGACATCCCCTGTGTCTACAGCCTTCACAAGGTACGGCCATTGTGGTGTATCTTTTTCGTGGCAAAATGAGGGTTGAATGGACCAATGGATTCACCATGGACTCACCATTGCCCAATTGCCCAAGAATTGGACCATTTTTAGTATTAGTATTATATTATAAACCCATCCATTTTTGGGGTGATGATTTTGACCCATATCCACAACATAAGGATGAATCATTTTGAACCTGACCGCCAGGTTCCAGAAACTTTCAAGGTACCGCAGATTGATACTTCGGTGACCAGTCTTAAGGTGCAGCTGTGCTTCGTTCTGGACTACACGGGCAGTATGAAGACACAAATTGCTCAGGCCAAAGACAGTGTGTCCAAAATCATTGAGGCGATGCAGAAAATGAAAATCGCTTCATTGCCCAATGCCGCCGTTGATGTTGAAATGGCAGCAGTGGCGTACTTCGACTGGGATGCCGAAACACGAAAACTGGGAAGGCCAGTGGTATCTGTCTTTGGTGGTCGTGAGGCAAGGGGTTGCTGAATCATCCACTTTGAATAACATTTCTGGTCTCGACGACTGTTGGAGATGCGACATCCCTAGTTCCAGTTCATTTCTGGCTATTTTTTTTGTTTTTTCCATATTTTTCCAGGCCTTTTGGGAATCACCGTGTCATCCCTTTTGCTGGGTGATGACACTAAGCCCCTGTGAGGTGAAGGAGGAACACAGTGACACCTTGACGGCTGAGAAGTTCTGCCAGCTGGGGGGTACTTGGACCAAAGACACTTCAGCCTTGCAGAAGTGGATCAACCAAGGTGTGGGAAATTGGGGGAATGTTATCCCCATCCTATCCATATATATATATAATAAATATATATATATAATTCCACATAGGTGTGTTAGGTGTGTCTTAAAATGGGATATACTCCCCAGCATTTTAATGGCAACATGATGATAAATGATAAACCAATGGATTTAGGGGTAGCATGTTTTCAGACAAAACCATATAGGTTTATCATGGTTTATCCATATTATCCGATAATTGTCCAGCTATTGTACCAATAGTTTCTCCCATGGTTTCCCAACTTTTACTTTTCTTTTGATGGACGTCTTTCCACCATCCATGGCTCAATGTCATGTGGGTTTGATTGGTTTATGGATTGACCATAACCCAAGCCTTGACCATACATGTGGCACGCGCCCACTTCTTGACATTTTTGTCAACCTGCACTAATGGGGTAAACCCAATATAACAAACATCAACAAACCTAGTTTTTGATGGTCAATACCCACCCATGTCTGGTAGAGTTGGGGATGCTACATGGTTTTGGGCAGTTTTGGGTTTACCGCATTAACATATCTATTTGCATTTCCTATCATCCTGGACTTGGATGATGGGACCATTTAGAGGACCCCATATTTCATGGCGAAAACCGGGTTTCTCAAAACATTGTTTCCCTAAAACCAATCTCTCCATTCTGATCCCATATAATCCCAATTTTCCATTGGTTTTCGATCCCCATGGTATTTTTCGGTATCTGTTGGGAGCGTCGAAAAGCCCTGGAGGCCTGGGCCATGGCGGCAAGGTGCCAGAGGAGCTCACCGGGGCCCTGCTGGCAGCAGCCAACTTGGAATGGAACGCGGATGAGAAGTTGATGGTGGTGACTTTGGTACTGGCTGGTGCTGGTTCGTTTCATGAATATTTATATACTGTAAACAGTTCCGTAAATGACGATTTTGGATGATTTTGGTACATATGTCCATGTTCTCCAAGTTTTCGCGGATGAATTACATTTTTGACGATGTTTGTCCAATGTGAAGAATTGTGATTTCACGACACTTTGCGATGTGCCATCAACCAAGAGCAAACGGCTCAGCCCACCAGGTGATCACTGATGCCCCCTGCCATGGCAAGGACTACAGCACGGTGGAGCACGACAGTTCCTGGGATTCGGGTTAGATGTGCGGTTGTGATGGTTGATATGTTTTCGTTGGTAGATTGTCATTCATTTTGTTAATTTTCAAATATTTTCCAAGGTAAATTAGAATGATGCAAAGGCTTGCATGATGAACCTCCAATCAAACTATTTGGTTCATCAATTCTTCTTTCCCAGGTTTCTGCGACAAGAGCACCGGCCTCACGTGTACGGGGCGTCCGGAAGAACCCTTGCAGAGTTTGATGGCGCAGGGGGTCACCACGGTGATTTTGCACACCGGCGAGGCGGCAGCGGTCAGCATGTGCCAGAAGCTCCAGCAGACGGACCCCAAGCTGATCCATGAGAAGGTGAGTCCTTCAGAGACTGCGAAGAAGGTGGTTTCGGTGCTGGAAAGCAAGGTGAGGAATGGCCAAAATTGATCTTCACATTTCTGGTGGTTGATGATGTTGATGAGTTTGTTGAATTTGTTGGTTGGATGGGTTAGATTGGAGGGGGAGAATGGAGGATTATATCATTGCGATTCACCATGGGCACCCGCTTAACATCAACCAAGCAGTAGAAGTGGATGACAGAGGGTTTTGCAATGTCTTGCTTGCGGGGCTCAGGTGCAAGTGCAACCTTTGACCTACATCTTGAAACCTTTACGTTTGCCAGATGAGGCGCCCACCTCCCCCTTGATCTGCGAGACAGTGGTGGCTACAGGGCCAGATTTGGCCACCAACACCTCCATTGAGGTTGAGGTTAGTGGAAAGAAGGAGTCGATGATGGTGGGATCCGATGGCTTGCTCTTTTTGGGCACCGCCACTTCCAACCCCAAGGCGCCAAGTGAACTGGGCGAATCTGAAGATCTGGTTGTTGGATTCAGCGCCAAAAACATATCTTAACATATTATGCTATAGTCAGCTTAGTTGTCTCAACATGAGATATATCCAGATTTTGTGGTGAGGGTATGCAGATGGAGGAGTCGTGTGGAAAGTCATCTCGCAAATTTGAGCTTAGCTATCTCTCGCTATTGTTTTCTTTTTTCTTACCACCCACAATATGGGTTGAGCGGTCTACCATACCATCCTTCCAATATAGAGGTTTGGGCAAACTCGGTTGTGACCTGCCAGGTGACCCTAAACCGACCTGCCATGTCTGGATTCGATGAGTGGTTTGACTCCAGTAGTGACCAAGTGGAGTTGGGCAGAGCTTTCGATGCCCAGAAAAGCTACTTGTTGAAGGTGCCCATAAAATCTCAAGCTGAAAGCTGAGCTGCTGGATGCTGAGCAACAGGCCGCCCTGTTGAATTCGTTGGCAGCATATGATAACATATGATAACACAATGTGTCACCGAAACATGGCAAAACTTCGGGCCTGAGACAAACCATTTTTGGTGGTAAAGACGCGGGAGAGTTCTGTCAGTTAAGCAGCCCACTTATGGTTCAATTTATACGGAAAATACCAGATGAACCACAGCTCCTTGTCCTGAAGTTTGCTTGAGTCATGCAACTCGGCTCTGCAACTTTCTGTGGCTAAGCCACGTGGGAAGCTGCGCCCTAAGTCCTGCGCCCCAAGCCCTGCGCTGTCATGGCCAAAGTTCTGTGGCAGATCTAACCACTTCGAGGAGAAAATCAGGATGAGAAGCGCAGAGTTTGTGAGTGCACCATGATGTTAATATCAGATCAATATCAGTTATCATTCTTGGACAAAACATCTGCCGCCTATCTTAAAGCGGAGAGTGGCAGAAAAGTTGAGACCTTTCTTAGGCAAACCTCTTGGCTTACCATTTTTAGAAAGCATGAGTTTGCCTGTTCAGACCTGCTGCTAGATCTGATATCCTTCCCAACATCGACAGGAAACAGGAAACTGCTGAAGAAGGAAGCGGTTAAAGTGGAGAAAAAACCAACATGAAAAAACATATTTCACAACGTTCTACCGCAACCCCCACACCTGAGGATCCTGAGGTCTTTACTCATGGTTTGGAGATAGCACACACACACACACTTCTTGAGTCTCAGTGGTGACGTTGGCTTCGCCTTTGGATGCCAGGGCAACGCCAATGGCCCATCTGAGACTGCAAATGCTTCGAAGGTTATAGAAAGGGCTGCTGGTGACTTGCCTTGGTGAAAGCTGAAAGATGCTCTCAACGGTTCCTATACGATTCTTCTATTGTTTGTCTTTGCAGCGTGCAGAGCTTGCAGCTTGTTTCAACGTGAGGTTTGTCCAGGACACATTTTCAGACACCTTGCTTTCATTGCCCTTGGATTTGCTGTTTAACACAGTGTTGCATTCTTTCTTGGCTCAGAAAGCTCCCGTCTTGCGTCGACAGTATATACTTTCGGGTTCCAGATAGTTCCAGCCAGCCATGACACGCAGAACGACAGCAGAACGACAGCAGAACAGTGACACCTCGGACTGTTGAGCAGCTCCAAACACGCCAAGATGATGCCATACCAGAGTGAGATGTGCCTTGTCAGAATGCTTGCTGCACTTGCCAAGTATTGGAACTTGCTGTTGGGGGAGGTTGAACCATGGTCGATTTTTTCTTGTGACCTGATGGTGTTAGCTCACTCAACCACACAACCAGTGTGCTTGGCGGATCTTGGCGGCAGGTATCACCTTCCATCCTATGAGGGAGGCAATGGCTGGTGGGAGCAACAATCCTGGAGTCCACACCTTAGTGCAGGAGACAGCTGGTGCTTTCCCAATAGACTCTATAGACATCATCAAACAAGAACTGTTAGAGATTTGACAGACCCCATAGATCCCCATAGCTTTTTTTGGGACACCACCAATTTTCCTCGCCTTCAGTTTCAGCTTTCAAAAACCTGGTGTACTCCGAGCTCCCTTGAACTATTTTGAAGCAACCATATGCAACCATCCACGGTCCAACAGGCCACCCCAGTTTTCTGGGACTCTGAGGCGAATCCATGCAGCATGTTCAATATGAGCAGCGCCCAGTCGAGATGTACGTGTAGAACTCAGGGGCATGGCATAGCCTGTGGTGGTCAAGCAGTGTATGCTGGAGAATGGATGGAACATGTATGATATGATAGATATGTCTGGAAATCATGTGGAGTACCATGGGGATGACATTTTGAATTGGGGAGAATCCACTTCCAGCTTTGTTTGCCGGACCATTGTTTTGAAGGAACACATCACCTCTGAATGGGGGAGAATCCATTGCTGGCTTTGCCAGAGGATAGACAACGAAACAGTAGCGAGGGAGCACCAATCTTGTTGGTTGGTGGATTGAAATCTGTTTTATGTAATGCTTTTACCGCTACCTGAGATGATGGTACACTGTTACTTACATGTTCAGAGGGATTCAAACCAACAATCACCTTACAGATGTTTAAATGACAAAACCCCTGTGGCTAGGCTTCGCAGACATCCTTTGATTGGTTTAGGGATGTTTAGGGTAAAAAGATGTAAATGCAGATGTCACCCCATGAGAAGCTTGATTGTTTGCAGCAATGAGACCACTTGGGACTCCGACAGGACGACAGCGGGAATTGGGAGTACCAATCTGAGCAACTTGGGTAGCATTGCCCTTGGGAGGCGTAGCATGCTTGGACCGTCCACTTCAGGAAGCAGGTGTAGTTGCACAATTTTGTCTTTGTCCATTGTGGGTTGACACACACACACAATTTTAGGGGAAATGTTTGTGCTTAATTCATCATGATTATGTTGATTCAATCTTTCGTGTTCAAACCCTTTTTTGGTCCTTAACCTGCGCCTGGAGAGTCCATTATCGCATCCGAGGTGGGCCACTCCGGCGGAGTCGTGGCCTTCCGAACAAAGCTGGACGACACGACAGCAGTGGTGCGCCAGTGGAGCGACTTGGGAGAGCCCCTCTTCCAGGCGGGCACAGAGGCCCCTGAGTGCCACTAGGCATGGCTCATGATGGCTCTGTCCAGGTGGCCTGAGCCGATGATGATGCAATCTGCGGTCGCTGCCCTGGGGTTGGAGAGTCGAGAAAATGAGTTGCCCATTCAACTAGCCATTACCTGGCCTATCCCCTCATTTTGAGACTAACCCAAATGTTACTAATAAGTTACAAGATTCAGCCGGGGTAAAACAATGGGTTCATGGAGTAGGCTGAAGTGTAAAGAGCAAGGCACCATCAGACGTTTAGCAACCTTCCCTACATGAATTGCGCAGTACCCCACAACCTAGGATGATATATATATATATTATATTCTATATTTACAATATGGCCATATATGGCCCAGGGGCTACATAGATACTATGATCTATTCATATTGGTTGGGATAGACTTTCAAAGGGACTTCTCTGACTAAACAGCAAAGGACACTCCAAGCTATACCCTATTGCACACAATGTAATTCGTTGCATCCTCTGACAGAATCCAGTGCCAATCAGTGTCCCTTCGAATTCAAGACCCGATTTTAACATGTTTTTAAGCACCAGGGTCTTTCAACGATTTCATTTCCTGACCACGAGCCATTGCGCTGCCTGCAATGCTCAACAGGTCCCAGTGGCACAGCAGGCCGCAAGAGGGCCCGGAGTTGGGCACCAAGTTTTGGGACGGCTTGCAGAGGAGGATATTCTGCAGCAACACATGACAAATCCAATCAGTGAAGCAGTGGGTCAGCACATGTCAAATTGAAAAAACATGAAAACCCACCCAAAATACGGAATCTCATAGACTAGGCCATCCTTGATTGAAATATTCACAAAAATCTGGGTTTTGGTGATTCAGGAAGGTAGGTGTGCCTCCAGCATCCACGAATTTGTTGGGTCCCTTCGCCCCAGTTTCGTTGCAACCCCGCGCTATCTCTTTTGATCCAACGTGGGAGATGTCTTTTTGCGCAGGGTATCAGTTGGTCAGACGCTGTTCGTGGTTTCAACGTTTTTGCTATTCCACCCTTATTGTACTATTCCAACTTGGATGATGCTCATACTTTCAGGATGGAAATGGCCCATGCGTTTGCTCATTTCCACGGGTCTGAGGCGTGTCAGCCCCAGGGCACCGCATGCGCCACGGCGTGCGGAGCGCCCGGGGCGTGTGCCACTGGAAATGCCTGTCAGGGGGCGTGTCCGGCCCCCTACTTGAGCGTCGAACCGAAAGCAGGCCAGGGTGGTGCATGCGCCAGTTGCATGCTTTTACTAAGTTGGCAGATGGGGTCCAGATTCTTCAACGCCCAACAGTTTTTTTGCTGCTTTCATGTTGAATTTAATGAGTGCGAAGCTTGAATTGTGTGTTGAAACCAGTGCTCCGATTCCATTTGCGATCTTTGCCATTGGCCTGTACTTTGTCAAAAAACATAACGCTTTTGTCTTGAGCCCTGATGACATGATTTTCTACGAAGTGAATAAACGCCTTGGTCTATCTTGATCCAATTTGCTCCAAGTTTGGATGGTGGATCTCCACCAGTATTGCATAGTATTACAGTAGCAAAATAAACGCTGGGAAGGCAAAATACTGGAACGATGAGAAAGCAGCACAATCGTCACAATCCCTTAGAGTTTCATCCAATTTTTGTCACCAGGCGACGAGGGGACGGAGCTTCGCCTTGCCGAGTGGCCCTGACCGAATTGCTGCGGCGTCATTTCATGAGCCAAATGGGTCAATCAATGTTTTGGAGCGAGGAATCAGAAATTTGGTCATTAAACATGATCAAACATTAAACCCCGAAAAAATGATGTAATGACTTGACCCATGCCCATATTCGTACATTTGCAGGTTTTGATGCCTTTTTCTTCCATGGTGGGGCCCCAAAAGCTCTGGATTTTGATGGCCTTAGGGGCCACTGGTATGGCAATCCTTTCAAGGTCTCTATGAGAGAAAAACTGATGCAAAACATGTTGTAGGGATTACACATCTTGACCCAAACCCATGCAATGAAATACAGACATTACAGGACGCTGTTTCAAAAGAAAACACAACAAGCAAAGGAAGATGCTTAAAGCATAGATCTGGGTTCGGGGGTTCCAGTTGGGATGCTGATCCCAGTTGACAATGCCCTGGTGGCTTGAGAATGGTTGAGGGGACCAACCATACACACAAACAATATAGCCATCATGTATGTACACACAATCTCTCTCTCTCTCTCTAAAGTGATATTCTATATAATTACACACACACATATATATAATATACATAATATATACATAATATAATATAAGATACATGAATGTCATGATATTGGTCCCAGCAATCCGATGAATCCCCCGGACTCGCTTTTTTCGAGTGCGCCAGGCTGAAGCGCCTCATCGACCGCGACGCGCAGGCTCTGCGAAGCACCAGAGAGGTGCAGGAGATGGTCAGGTGGTAGGGATAGGCCAACAGCCAGGGGTCAATGGATGGGGGATACCCCAAGGGATACCTCAGCTGGATGGTTTATTTACCATGAAAATCCAGAAATGGATGATTGATCAGGGGTTTCCTATAATAAATCACAACATTGACCAATGTCACATTTGAGTTTACTTTGTTTGATCTTCTTGGGATTTAGTTGATTGGGGATAGAATGGGGTGACACAAACGCCACAATATGATCAATACCGCGATTAGAAGGTGTCTCAGAAAATTGGTATTGTATATACTTGGCCAACCTAACCGTTTTTTTTTTTTGTGATGGACCAGTGGATTCTGGGACACACTATTCTCAGATAAGACATGAATGGACTTTGTGCAAATGACTTGTCTTATTTGTAATTTTGTTGTATAATTCCTTCTTTTGGGTGAACGGCTCTTCATGGTTTGAGGGCCAATGGTTCAATGGCAACCGCGATTCGACGTATGGATTTCGGGACCGGGACGAACCGAGTATGAACTCAAGGTTTTTCAAAAATCAAAACAACATCGCCATAGAAACGTAGTGTAATGTAGTGTATAGATTCTATAATAACAACAATAATTAATGATACTGATATTCATAAGAAAAGCACATATTATACATATATGTTGTATATGTACAGTATACATAATACAATATAATATAATACATATGATGTACATCTACCCAGATGTGAAGCAAAGTGTGTAAACGCCACATGGCCATGGTTGATTCAGGAGCCCATGGAGCCCCAAAGTGGCGCGGTCAGCCGTGAGGGCCATGAGGTCAACTGCCGAGGGTATGGAGATATTTTGAGCATTTTTGAGCCATCTGGCAGTGGGGGTCCAGTAACTCCCAGTATCACCATATCACCATAGGATGTACTTCGGACGTCAGGCTGGTCCAACTTTGCAGCGAGACGCAGCGAAAAGCAACGTGGTAGGCGGCTTACACCGAAGAAAGTGTGACTCTGGGCTTTTGGGCCGTCACGAGGAGGTTTGCAAACGTTTCCAAAATTCTTGGTCTCTCCGTGCCATTCTTCGCTCCCAAGTGCAGGATTCCAGAACTAGATCGTTTGCTGTGATGGCCCCTTGTGAATAGCTGTATTCCCATATGGAACTGCTGGCCTTCCCTTTGCGTGTTGGTGACAGTGACAGGTGACTTGGTGGTGTGGAACCATCAGCCATTTCCGCATCCCACCCACTTCCCTTTCATCCCATACCATCATATACCATCCATGTGGCGCATATGTCTGCGTACATTTATGGCCAAACACTTCGTGTCTCAAAATATTGTAAAATTAATGTAAATCATGGGTCATTCTGGCATTCCTGAACCGCTCAGGTACTGTATGGGACCTGTGCGACATTGCCCCTGTCATCCTGCACCCTATCATACTAAAGCCGTAAAACCCTAAAATCTTAAACCTACACCCTAAACTCCAAAAACTGCAAAAAGCGTGAGAAAATCAAGGCAACCCCCTAAATGCAAAATACTTAAAACCTAAAACCCTAATTCTTAAACCCTAAAACCTTAAACCTAAAAGTGATGTTGGGCAAAACGAGGTGTTTGCGCGTACATTTACCCACATTTACCCATATTTACCCCATCCTGGAGTTTTCGAGGCCCCTCCCAACTCTTCGGCAAAGCCGGGGGACGTGAAGGCTGCGGCTGGGGAAGGACCAGTGACGTCCATTGAAAGGAATTAGGAGCACCACAAGAAATCTCAACGGGGAGACAACGCAATGTGTACATGCTGCGGTAAACAATGACCTGATAATTGACATCCTGTTTACCCTAATTTACCTGCAGGCCTATAGATTTAAACCCAAGCATCTTGCAGTAGAAACATAGATTCTAGGGAATTTGGGGGACCCAGTCTCGCATTAAAAGACAAGAAAAATGCAGAAGATTCAGGGTGTTCGAAGAATGTCCGGAATGTGAAGGATTAGATTGAACAAAGGTCATGCCGAACGAAAAACCTGGTGTATTTTTATCATTTTTTATCAGTATCCCACTCATGGCAGCATTGAAAGCTCAGTGGATTTGTAGTAGCACAGTATTTGAGTGTGCTTGAGCTACGTGTGCCAGGGTCATGACTCGGCTTTCTTCGACAATCGATCATTGTTGTAAGATCGGTTTTGCAAGTTCATGCAATCTCAAATCAATTTAGAATCTCAAAATATCTGAAACATCTCCTGACTTTGGAGTTTTGACCCATAGCGCATGATTCCTATGTTCCATGGCCAGTGGGTGCCACGAGTCATGGCCTGCGCTCAGAACCACCGGGTTTTGGTGGACTTCACACCAGAAAGTCGAGACTATGGCGAGATGCCGCTGAAAGCCGGCGAAGAGGTGGGCAACGCCGCCTACTTGGGCCATTGGGGGATTGATTCCGATGGATTCCGTGTCACTACGTCGTACTACGTCGTACGACGTCGTACTACGTAGCTGTTCCATGCTGTTCCCAAAGTTCCATCATTTCTGCAGCCGTTGGAGGTCACGGTCCGCTATCCTATCGAAGAGGACGGGCAATGTTCTCTCCGGACATTGGTCTGGAATCCAAATGCAAAAAAAACAAGGTGAAGAATAGTGTCATCATTTAGGACTTGCTTCGATTTTTTTTGGTCATTTCAGTTCGACTATCTAACATTTTTTTGTTTGGGACCATTCAATTCGTCCTTTGGAGATAACTACTGTGTTACCATCCAAGCGTTTCCTTTTTTTAATACAATTTTCTCCCTTGCACTGCTCGGATTTTTGTGGAACGTCTTCGCTTCTTCGCTTCCAGGATTGGATCTTCGGCTGGAAAGGCTGGCCAGTGCGTGACCAGGCGCTGATCCAAGGATCACCTGGATGGGCTCACATACAGATTACTACCATATGAATGGGGAATAACATGGAATAACCATCAATAAACCAGCAATTTTATGGTACCAAAGGTACCAGGCTTTTGACCTATAAACGAAGTGTTGAAAACCAGACATGGACCGGTGGAGTGGGTGGATTTTTTTGCCTCCACTGAGGGCTGGCTGCCAGCGCAAAATCTTGGTCTCGGCCTGATCCTCAGTTGGTGAAGCCGGGTTGTCATTTTTGACATCACATGTTCAATGTTTCAAATGATGGTTGGCCAGAGGAATCATCTCAATCCACCAAAATCACCTAATAGATCTAATAGGACCTGACCATTTGGGTTGGTCAACAAGGATTCTTCTGCTGGAAATTTGTCATTCGCGATAGATCAATGAATCTTCGAAGATGTTGTCATTCACATCGTCATTGTGAGGTGTGCACTTGGACAGCGAAGACGAAGTCTGGGCCCAAAAAAACACCACGCGGAAAGGAATTCTGTGGCTGTCAGTTTGGACCCTCATTGGGTAGGTTTGAGAGAAACCTAAACTGGAATCTGCTGGAAACAAATGCTTTTGACATCTTTCCTATGGGTGTTTGGTGAATTTTCCCTTCAACCAATCAGTGGATTGCCAAGATGTGATTTACGCCGATCCAACTCGTTCAAGCAGAATGGAGCCCAATCTGGACCATGCAGCCATCCATGAATTCATTTTTGAATGACTAGTGGATAAATTGCCGGCTTCAGATTTAAGAATCACTCCAAGGGATCCAATTATATTCTATTCTTGTTCTAACACGGTTTTGAGGCTGTTGTCCAAGTTTTTTTCCTGCTTTTCGCATTTCTTGCTCCTTGTTCCAAGGTTGTCCATGAGCCTGGCAGGGCGGCTCAGCATGTTCCAGGTTATGGGCCCGAGGAGTGAAGCAACATTGTGAAGTCTCGCCCACAGACCCGGTTGACATTTTGATAGATTTTGTGTATGTATGGTTCCAAGCTGCGATACCAAGCTGGAGGAAATTTGGCTCATTCGTTCAATTTCCACCAAATTTCCACCAAATTCTTCAAGCCTTCAATTTCAATGGTCAGTCGAGGCATTCCCATGCCATCTACCGATGTCAACCAAGGTGCTGAGATCAAACCCAAGGCCCGAGGGGGGGGAAGCTGCTGGATACTCTTCATGCGGGACAAAAAGCTGTTCCAGACGTCCAAAAGTGCAGATGTTTTGTCAGGAGGAAGTGGAGCCGGGACCTTGGCTAGCTGAGCACATTGTTTTATTTTTTTCAGAAGATTTTAGGTCGGCGGCTTTGGATGGAAGCAATCAACGTGATATCAATTTGTATCCCATTTCTGTTTGAATCTCTGGCTGGTGTTTATCTCCATGGTTTTTCTCCATTTTGTTGGTGAAACATGGTGAAAGCCTCCAATTTCTTGTGGCGACTTAATGGCCACCTTGTGGCCCCTATAGGGCTTGGCATCACCACGGAAACTGGTGGAGCCGGCAGCGGCATTTGAAGGCGGATACACTGGAGGTTGATGGAGCTTGGAATATGTTTTGATTATTTATTTATTTATCTATTTATTTATTTATTTATTTACTGTAACCTGTTCCGCCAGCCGCAAACAGCACTTGCACAGGCCTAGGAAGAAAATAGTTATTGTGTAAAACATGGTTTTGTGCATAACACGGTTTTTGTGTAAAACAGCGTTTTGTGTAAACCAGGGCTTTTGCGCAAAACATGGTTGTTGTGTAAACCACGGTTTAAGTTTAAGCCGAAGCATGAGTGCATAAACTAGGGTTTTGGGAAAAGGCCATCTGTAGAAAGGTTATGCATGTGCAAGTATTGGACAAATGACACGACACAGCAAACCGGTGGCAAACACAGCAAAAAAGGCGGACAAAAACAACGGCAATAACAGCAAACATGTTCAAAACCAAGCGCGCGTTGAGCGAGTCGTGTGCAGAGTTGAGCCCAGCACATCGTGGCAAAAGAATGCAAAAGATGAAGACGAACAGCCCGAAGAGGACGATGACGACGAAGAAGGGGGGGAGGGGGGGTGGGTTGAAGTTCGACGAGGCAAAAATCCGCGCCAAGGGGAAAGTCTAGACAAAGACAAAAGACAAGACAGACAGTACAACTACGAACAAGCAAAATCCACAAGACACGCCGGCAGGCCGGCGGATTACATATCCAGATATCCATACAAATAGTCATCTTCATGTCGAAGAAATCTTCCATTCTCAGCAACTCAGCTGTGTTTGAATTGATGCTTCATTGGACGCAATGCCTACGAATGGGATGAAGATCTTCTGTTTTATATTGTTTTTCAAAGAGTTTTCAGGGAGTCTCAACACCTCGTCAGCAGATATGTCCCCAAAGGCCAACAGAAATTCAGCCGCTTCGCAGGTGGATCAGGCTTCAGCCAAAAAGGACGGGGAACATAGGATGTGAATTTATGTGAATAGGATGTCAATGGATGTCATAGGTTTGTTATGGTTTGTTACTGCCAACCATGTTTGGACCGTGTTTCCCCTCCAGGGCCCCGCCAGGACATTGGGGACGTACGGCGACGCCCGCA